ATTCAGCTGGTAAATAGTGGAGCCAGGATTCAAACCTTGGGCTACCTGTCTTCAGTGACCTTGACCCTTGCCCCTTCGCAGAAAAAGTGCTGGGTAAGTGGGAAGCACACTCTGCTCCTGACAACTAGAAAAGCAGGACACGTCAAGCAAACGGGCGGAACATCAGCGCCCTGTGAGGCTGTGCACTTTTTCCCGGGCTGTGATCTGGCCTCAGCCCTTCTGGAATTCTCCCCTGTACCCATGATCACCTGAGGCCCAAAAGTCAGCCTCATGATCTCCCAACACTCCCCCCAATGGCCCCGATGAGTATTCCCAGCCAATTCGCTCTCCTTAGACTTCAGTCTTGGACCTCAGGGAGACCTGCTTGTTTCCAGTTGCCCCTCCAGAAAGGATGACCCTGTCCCATGACCTGGGGACATTAAGGAAATGCACCGGGGGCTCTGAGGGCAGGTGCCGGAGGAAAGCTGGCCCTGGCAGTGCCACCAGAGCACCTCCCGCAGGGCCATGGCTTTGAGGAATCGCAACTCGCACTCGGGTGTGTGAACTCGGTACTTGCCAGGATTTCTCACCTCCCTAGAATCCATGGCACACTCAGCTTGCCCTCAGCTGGAGGGGCAAGGATTCAACGGGGCCTGTCCTACCTTACTTTGCCCTCAGAACACCTATTCTTACTTGGCTGCATTCAGATCTTGAGAAGATGAGGAACATAGCAAACATTTAGGTAAATATATTAAACATTTGGGCACACACGGTTATCACCATTTCAGATCTGCATGGGGCCTCCTCCCAAGAATCCACCCCCCGCCCCAACCTCACATCCTTTGCTTTTCCCAGGATATTCACCCTCTGGTCCCTTCAGGCTCAAACTAGAACCGCAGACCTCGGCAGCAGGAGCAGGGCCAGGCCTGGCTCTCCACGCGTGGAATGGGGTAAGTCTCGTGCGCTCTGGACGTCTTAGGTGTCTCACCCATATTTGGAGGTGATGACCCCGTATGCTTTTCCCAAAGTGTGGGGGCTGAGGGATACGAGGGTGACAGAGGGCCCTTCTGTGCAACCCTCACTCAGCGACCTCACCAAGGGCCTAGCATGGGGCCTGCAGAGAACAGGGGAAGTGAGGGGACGACATCTGGCCACTCACTGGCTTGGATGTAGGCTTCCAGAAAGTTCTATTTTCCCAGTGGTTTCCACAGGAAAATGCAAAGAAACTTGGCAATGAAAATATGGCTCCAAAGTAAGAATGCCACAAAAAAATGTAATAAGCTTTAACAGCCGCTGTTACTCTGAAAATCCAAGCAGATGGGGACTGCAACTGCAGCTGTATACTGGCTCCTGTCTGAGCAGCCTTATCAGATTGGAGCCTTGGTTACCACATGGTTATCATGCCCCCCCCCCCCCAATATATTCACTAAAGATGAATAGAGACCAAACCTGCCTGGATGACTTACCCAGAGCGGTTTCCAGGACGTGGTCCGCAAACGTAAAGCTGGGGAAGAGCAGAGCCAGCTCTCGGCGGGCGTCCTCCGCGTCCCGGCTCCCGTGGACCGCGTTAAAGGGCACTTCCGTGCCGTACTGGGCGCGGAGACTGGGAGCATTGGCAACATGGACAAGACACAGTTGTTTCATTTGAAAGAGAAATGTTTTGCTCTCCGGCAACGTGGTTGCCAGCTACCAATGGGCACCCTGCACTTCTGCGAAATGGCTTTCTCTCGGTTGGAAATGCCAAGAACAGCAGCCAGGGTGACAGGAGCTGACATCTGTCCCGCCCGCCAGGGCAGCATTCTGGGCATGCTGCCTGGTGCTTCTCAAACGTGCTCTCGTTTCACTTGTGCCACAGCCCTGGGAGGGAACAGTGGAAGCCCAGGGGCGGCCGTTTTACTGATATCATAACCAGGGGCTGGCGCCTGCCAAGGGCTTCAGATAGGTCTGCAGAGTCAACCCCCAGTAGCCCCATCAGCTAATGCTAATATTGCTAGGACTTCCTGTGTGTCAAGCACTGTCCTAAGCGCTTCATACATACAGGCTGTCCCCAAAAAATGTGTACATACTTTAACAGCTGGCAGCTCCGTTTTGAAAGTGAAATGCATTTTAATAAACACTGCCTTTAAAATTATTCAAAGTGTGTGTTACATTTTTGAGAGACACCCTATATATATGCTCATTTAATCCTCACATCAACATCTGAGGCAGGTCTCATTATAGCACCCATTTTTCAGATGAGGGAATCGAGGCAGAGATTAAAGCATGGCCCAAGGTCACACAGTAAGAGGAAGAAGAAAGATTCTGAAATCTGTCTCTTAACCATGATACTCTCTAGCCCCCTTGATAGTTGCTCAGATCCCCATTTTACAGATGAGAGAACTGAGACCCTGAGAAGGGACATGCCTGAGTATATGGTAACCTAAGATCTGAGCACTGGGCTGTCTTTCGCTAGCCCAGGCTGCCTCATATATGAATGTCCCTGGCCCCTACAGCTACAAGGTGCAACCTCGGTTACTTAGCCTCTTGCTCATTTCTTTCCTGTTGGCTGGGCCTCTCACAGCTTCAAAGGAAAGAAAGATGTGGTGGATTTGGCATTGGTGGTGTGCTAAAAACACACAGGGGCAAGGAGCAGACCAAGGACAATATGCAGGACAGCATGCTCACGCTCAGGGCACCCAGGGAGGGGAGTAGGCGTTGAGGGGCTTGAGTGCAGTGCATATTCCTAGACTCTACCCAGGCTCTGACTTGGCTGGCCTGGCAGGGGGCGGGGGGGTGCTGAGACCTGTTTCCTGGGTGAGTATGGCAGGTGGTCCTGAGACCACCCTTTGGGACCTTCTGGCTACAGAGAGAACAGTGAGGCCTGGGTCCAGCAGCAGCCTTCAGAATTGGGCAACAGAGGCAGCAAGGAGGCATTCGGCGAAGGGCAGGGGACTGGATCAGAGGGTGAGGACGTCAGGGTCTCCCCCAATATATAACAAAGGGGGTCATGGCCATCAGAGAGCCCTCTGTGTTACCCACGATTCGGGGCTGAGCATCAGGCAGGGCTCTCTGCTTCCCCGGATGCAGGTTCTGAGATGGATGTAGGGACCCCAGCTAGTGACATCACCTGTCAGGCTGCTCCCTCCTGGCCACGTGCGGGTCACAGGGTCCCATGAGGGCTCGCCAGGCGGTGGCAACGTCCTCGGTGTCCTCAGTCCTGGTGAGGATCAGGAGGTGGCTCGGCCCACTGCACATGTGATGTACCAGCTTCTCAAATGCCTCCTGGAACAGGGAGGGGAAACGGGCCGAGGGTCAGCGGGGCCCGTCCCACCCACAGGATGGGCGGGGTCAGTGAGCAGCCTTGCCACCAGCCAGCAGGCCCCTGAAGGGCCCCTGGGAGGGATGGTGGTGATGCCCCCCCACACCCAGAGGAACCAGGTATAAGCTAAAAGGCAGAAAGAGGAGACTTTGGGTTGACTCATTTGGGGTTGAACATGAGATTATAAGAAACTAGAGGACCGGTGCATAAAATTCATGCACTTGGGGGGGGGGTCCTTCAGCCTGGCCTGCACCCTCTTACAGTCCAGGAGCCCTCAGGGGATGTCCAACTCACGGCTTAGACCCACTCGAGGGAAGCGGGCCTAAGCCATCTGTCGGACATTCTTAGCGCTGCTGCAGAGGTGGAAGACACTTCTGGCTAAGCAGTGCTCCCCCTGTGGGAGAGCACTGACCACCAGGGGGCAGCTCCTGTGTTGAGTGTCTTCCCCCTGGTGGTCAGTGTGTGTCATGGCAACTGGTCATTCTGCTGTTCTGTCGATTTGCATATTTGGGTTTTATTATATAGGATTAGGTAGGGGCATTTTTTAAAATCACATATATGGAAATCCTGTGGATGCTGGGTAACCAGGGGTGGGGTGTAGTTGAGACTTTTTTGTTTCTTTGTTGTTGTTGTTGTTTTGGCGGGGGGAGGGAGTTGGCAGTACTTTAGAATCCTTCCTCTTCCTTCAAGTAACAGCTCTCTGGTTTTCCTTCCTGAACAGCCCTTCCCCCATCATTTGGCCCTATTCTGGCTGACAACCATAATGTCTATCCACACCCCCATACCTCCCATGCACACACACCTCAACTAGAGGGAGGGCTGTGACCAAGTTAGGCCGCCAGCTCCTGCCAAGTCCATGAGCCAAGCAGATGCAAAGGGAGGTGGCTGAACCCGAGTCCAACGGCAGCACCCCAGCCCCCGAAGTGACTGTCCCTGAGGTTCCGCTCCTGACATTCCCTACAACTGTCTTGGTTCTTCTCCCCAACACCGTCTCGTTCAACTCTCCCTTCCGTTCCCAGAGTTAGGGAGTATCATTTCAATCAATCCCTTATTTCGTTACTTCAGGTAGAGTCCAAATCGCTTCCTGCAGCCAAAGCACCTTCACCGATGCAGCATCATGACTGAACCAATTCACAGCCGCCTCCTGCTATATTCTTGTTCTTCATCATACTCTATTTTCTCCCAAACTAGTAACCTGTGATCATACTCAAAAGAGAAGAGATGGGAGTGGGTTGGACAATGGGAGCGGACGAGCTGACCTCTCCAGCTCTGTGTTGGTAGAAGAGTTGCATTTCTGCCTCTGTCATGGTCCTCTCTTCACTCATTATAATGTCAAACCCAGCTTCCTGGATCTGCAGAATATACACACACATTCTGAAAGGGTAAATGAAGCCCAAATTCCCATCTAAATGAGTTGAAAAGTAGAAGATAATAGAAAAGGCAACATTAAAAACAGTGGAAATCCTCACCTTTATCATATCTTTCCTGCTTAGATTTTTTAATTTTAATTTACTTAAATGGAATTTTGGTTAAAGCTCCTTAAAAGCGTTCTCTCCCTACTAGGAAGGACACTGCTCCACGATGCCCACCCGTTTCCACCAGAGGAGACCCGAGGACAGCCTGTGGGGTGCGTGTTGTCCCTCTACCTTCATGATAATCTCATCAGTCTTCCCGTGGCCGACTGCATCTGGTTTAATGATCGCCAAGGTACAGGTCTTCTCTGATGAAGCTGTAATAAGCCAAGGGTGGTGCTGTCAGGCGCTCGGCTCATCCATCTTGGAGGCTCTCAGGAGGCCACCTGCAGGGACCACACAGCCTCTGCACACAGCGCCCAGGGGTCCCTCGCCTGGCCTCTGGCTGTGCCCCTGCAGACCTGGACTCTAGTGGGAGCACAGGTCTGGCTCCAGACCTCAATCTCAACCTCAACCTGGCTGCAGGGGACAGAGACATGCTAGGGACACAGACCTGGGAGGGAGGGAGGGAGAGGGGATGGAGGGGGAAGAAGCAAGGGAGGAGTGGGAGGAGATCAAAGACTACCCAGGAACAGAAACCCAGAAACAGCTGAGAGAGGAGGCCTGCAGGGGGAGTAGGGGGGAGCCGTGGCAGAAGCAACGCAGGCCTGGCTACTCCTGTTCCTTCCTGTCACCCTCTCATGATTCCTGGCTCTGACTGCTGACTGCTGTGTTCTCCTCTCACTCTGCGGGCTCCTTTGCCAATGCTTCTTTTTTACTTCCCTGGCACATGGCCAAGGAGGGCTGCCCTGGGCCCTGAGTCCACATGACCCTTCAGCGCCAGCGCACATGACCAAGCTGCAGCTCTCCAGTCTTCTCGGCCTCAGTTCAGTTTCCCCGCAGAGAAGCCCAAATTGGCCAGCATGTTGTTTGCAGCTAAGGCACCAGTCATAGCTCACCGACGCGTCTACTGACTGGCTGCCCTTTGGTCAGTGTCCATGGGTCCAACCAGCCGTGACGCTGAGGGAGATGCCACATAACCACAGTCCACTGCTCAGGCCGCCGGCGCTGCAGGGAGCCCCATGTCCAGTCATGAATCTGTCCTGTTGTACTGCTGTTTGTATGAACGGGGCCTTGGGGACCAACCTCTGCTCTCCACAGACTCTGTGTCCTCCTAGCCTCTTCTATTCTCAACTTTTACATCAGTTGTGTTGCAATGAGACTTGACAATATCCAGAAATCTCAAAAGAAGTGTACTGCAAGGCGTGAATTATTTGAAGCAACAACTCTACTCATTTCCCTGTGAATTCCACTTACAACATCCTATGAGCACTGTGAGCACTTAGACCTTAAGGGATCTTACATAAACGTCCTTATACGTTGACCAGTGAGTGAGGTTAGCTCAGAGGTACACTGTGAGAAGAGAACTGGCCAGAGCAGGGGCCTGGAGAACTCCAGCTTGAAAAGGGAGTAAAAGAAAAGACGCCAGCGAAGGGAAGGCTGAGGAGAGGCCGGACACGTCGGGGGAAACCGAGAAAGGCCGTGACCAAGAGAAGCCAAGAGAGAAGAGGGTTTGGAGAAGGAAGACATTGCGAACGTCCGCGTCTGTAGGAAGATGCCGTAGGACGTGACTGGGAACGGTCCCTTGGATTTGGCATGAAGAAGGTCAGTGGTGCCCTGGGCAGGAGCAGGTCAGGGGGAGCGGGCGGCAGCCGCAGGTGGGGTGGCCCCCGGAGTGTGGACAAAGTTCCGGAAGCTCAGAGTGGGGGAGAGGAAGGCCAGGGCAAGGACAGGGTTTTGCATTGTTTTCTAGGCGGAGAGATTGGATTTTAAGGAAAACAAGGGGGAGGGGACTCACAGGAGATAATCCAAAAAGGAGGCAACAAATGGAAGTCAAATGGATGATTTTTCTTTTCACACTGGAACCATCTTGCTCTCCTAAACTGGGCCTCTCCTTGCTAGAATCCAACTCAAACATCCTCATTGCCCACACACCAATACACAGCCTTTCTGCTTCGTGCAATCATCGAATCTTCCTTCTCTTTCCAGCGCTGTCCCCGAACTTAGGCCTGGCTGCCTCTGGTGTCTCAGTGGCCTTCCTCCTCCCCAGCCACAGCCTGGCTGACGTGGGCTTCTCCCCACACTGTCAGGAGGCTCGGGAAGACCTGCCGGGCAGGGCAGTGTAGAATCCTGAGTTGTATGTGGGGGAGCAAGGGCAGAGGGTGCAGGGCTGTGGGGAGAGAAGGTGTTCAGCTGACTTTCTGATACTTCAGAAAAAAAGGTGAGAAAAAAAAGAAAGAAACTTGAGCTCTTTAGTTGAAATAAGGACTAAGGAAACATCAGCATCGTTACTGTACAATATTAGTGTCGATATCCTCCACTTTATTCCACGGAGCTTTTCCTGACGCCCAGAAGTCGCCATGAAAGTCACACTTGCTCTATTTGAACATGATCAGAAAGCTGTGAAAAGTGCCCAAAATGCCATTAAAGGACAGAAAGGAGACATGAAATGATGCTGGAGGACAGGTGACCGGAGGCAAAACGTTTTACAAGTGGCTCAGGTGGCTCGATAAACTGACTACTCGTATGTTTTTTAAAAACACATCAAGTCGGAGTCTGCTTGGCCTTTTGGCCTTGCTGGTTGGCTGGGCACTCACCCACGTCCGCGTCTTCGCCACCGTCCTTTTCATGGGAAAAGCATTCCTCCTCCTCAGAGAGAGCCTCGTCTTTGATCTGATACAAATTGGTCAGGAACAGAGGTCATTAATTAATTAAAATGACCACAAGACCTTCAAAAACCCGCAGAAACCCCCAAAATAAAGGTTAAAAATACAGCAACAAAAGGGCCAAGATTATCTATCTTGGAAACAAGAAAAGTGTTGCTAACAGCTGTGCGACGATGCGGGGAGGGGGTGCTGAGTGTTTGGAGACAAGGAAATCCGTGCTGAGCTTAAGGCTCACAGTCGGGCTGTTTCCACAAGCACCAAGTACACATACAGAGCTGGCAACGGAAGAACTGAAAGGCGAGTAAATATGAAGCGATTGCCCGCACAGTGCAGGGAAGCAGTACAGAGAGAGCACCAGCATTTGGGACCGCCTTTCTTGGGGGGAAGTTGCCAGTTTTCTGGGGGGAAAGTATGATTCGATGCCTGTCCATTCTAAAAAACAGGACTTTGCCCTTTGGAATCGAATGTGAGAACTGGAACAATGAACGCTGAACACGAAGGCTCCTTTGGCAGGTGCTCAGAGCTCCAGGAAATGTCCCTCTCTCTGCTGCAGGTGTGTCGTTCTTCGGAGGCAGCCAGTTATTTATGAAAAACTCAGCCCGTGTCATCGTGGAAATAATATCCCAGAACCACAGGCTGTTTCTCATGGTCCTGACAGAGCTTAATTCCTAAAGTCAAGACGAGAGCCTCTGGGATCACAAGTAAGACTTCCAGGAATGGAGGTGAGGGGGGCAGGTCACCAGGAGAGATCTCGCCCTGGGGCTGGGCTCCGCCTGCCCACTCCTCAATTCCATCCCTTTATTTTCATTTCTGACTTCATTGTCAGGGATCCAGAAACCCTGTGACGAGTAGAAGGAGGGGAGGAAGGGAAGTGGATAAAGAAAGTTGAAGTGTTCTGGGTGAAGGGACAGCTTTTTAAAAGAAGGCTCCAGAAGGAAGATTTCAAAATGCACATGTCAGCGGGGCCTTGTGCTCTCCCTGCACTCTCAGCGGGGACTCGGGTGGGCATTTAATGAAGCTTCCAGCTGACAGGCCCAGGAAAATGAGGGGGAGGGGAGGGAATGGCAGGCCTGGAGCACACCCTGAGCTTGCTGCTTGCAGGAGTGGCCGCCTTACCACCTTCCGTTCTCTGCCTTCAGCCAGCACCTTCCTCTCGGCCTCCAGCTGGTCCAGGATGGTTTTCTGCAGCAGTGGGGCGTTTGCTCCTCTAACCACAGCCACCAGTTTCCCTCCCTGCAACAGGACAGATGTGCTGCTCAAGCCACAGGACACCCAGATGCTAATCTGTTCGAGAACCAGTGGGAGTGCCCAAGCGCTTTGTTTAGGAGTGTGCCCAAGGTCAAGGTCAAAGCCCATCGGCCCCAGGCCCACAGCCTCCATCCACTTCTCTGCCTTGTACCCCAGGCCCCTCCTTTCAGAACTTCCTTCAGGGCAATGGGGAGTCGGCTAAGGGAGGGACAGGATGTGAGTTGCCTATACCTGGCTCATGCCCTCAACATGTATCTATTAAGCACTTACCTGTCAAGCACCGAGACCCAGGCAAAAGCTATGAACACTAAACATGAAAAGACACAGTCGTGCCCTCAGTGAGTGGGGAGCCGAGTGGGGGCAGAAAGGTGATCATCAAACAAACAATTACAATAGAACGAAGTCATTGCTTTAATGGGGGGTGTACAGAATGCTTGGAATTCCGGGCAAGACTCGATTCCCAACTCCATCTGGAAGGTCAGGTGGTGTTTGGGGTGCATGGGTTTCCTGCTTTCACTGGTTCAGCAGCGTGTGGCTGGGGCACGCTCCTCTTAGCTCCTTCCCACGTCTCCCTCCCGCCCCACCCATGTTCCACCATATGACTTCAGTCTCCCGACTAAAACTCCAGGCGCAAATGTTTTATCACAAGCTCCTGATCTGTAATACTTGCAGTGCTGAGGGGCCCAAACGTTTCCAA